AGGCAAGGTACGGGGGAGCTCGGGGAATGGGAGGCGGCCCGGGGGTGCTGGGCTGCCGCCTCTGGGGGGCGAGGCGCCCGACTCCCCGCTCAGGGGCATGTGCCTCTCTTCCTTTGCAGCGAAGCTGCTGGAGAAGCTCAGTGAGTACGAGATCGTGACTCCTACCCGGGTGAATGAGTTGGGAGAGCCCTTCCCCACCGATGTCCACTTCAGGCGGAGGCGGCGGAGCACCAACGCTGCCCCCGACGCCTGGATGGCCGCCGCCTCCTCATCCTCCTCCCCTAAGGCTCACTACAGGCTTTCCGCCTTCGGGCAGCAGTTCCTCTTCAACCTGACGGCCAGCTCGGCCTTCATCGCCCCGCTCTTCACCGTCAGCATCCTGGGCGAGCCCGCCGCCGAGCAGCGGAACCTTTACGCCGAGGCTGCGGACACCGACGTGAAGCACTGCTTCTACCGGGGGCACGTCAACGCCCGGCCGCGGCACACCGCCGTCATCAGCCTCTGCTCCGGGATGGTGAGCCCCGGGTCCCGGCCCCGCCGGGCGCCCAGCGGCGGCGAACAGGGGCGGAAGCGAGGAGGAGGAGAAGGAGGAGCAGGCGAGGGAGGGTGGGCAGAGGGAATAGGAGCCGGCCCCATCCCGTAGCCCCAGTCGAGGGCGGGGGAAAGGGGCCGGCCCGCCCCGGTTTGGTCTTTCTCGCAGCCCACTTTTATTATCCCGTCGGATTGGGGGAAAGCCCTTCTGCTCCGCGGGTTTTGGGGCAAAAGTGCCACCCAGCGGCACCCCACCACGGAGATCACCGGGTGGGGAGAGCCCTATTGTAGAGCCCCCATCAAACCGCCTGACACCGACGTGCGTCCCTAAATCTGGAGCGATGGCTGAGGGGTCCTCAGCAGTGCTGCCCTCAGAGCCTTCCTGCAGTATGGCACAGAGATGTGAGCTCAGAGGAGATGAACGCAGGGTGCCTTGCAGCCCGTCCTGGTGCTCTGCTGCACCAGGGGATGCTGGCAGAGGGAAGAGCAGAAACTGCCCAGCAGTCTCCCAGGTTGTTGCACCCTCCTTGCACCCCCGAGTGCCTGCAAGGCACAGGAAGCAATGACTGCCTTGGGTACTCTCCCGGGAGGTCTCTGCTGGTCACTCTCCTACCAGGGCATCCCAGGCTGACCATGTCATGCTGCTTCAGCTCCAGCCCCCGTCCCAGCAGGTTAGGCTGGGGCCTGAGCTGGGCTGGTGCACATGTGTGCCTGAGCAGGCCTTCCTCCAGCACTATATCCCATGTAGTTATCCTGTTTCCTAGCCTAGGATGGCTAACAAGATGCTTTTGTCCTGGATGTTTTGTGGTTGTTTTTTTTTTTTTTTTTTAACCTCTCTGTATTCATATTCATATACAACTAACTGACAGTGCTTCCATACTGTGCACTAAAGCAGTGCACAGGGATTTCACTGTCTGGATGCCTCTCGTGGGTCCTCACATCTGAGTTTAAAGCCTGTTTCACGGAGAGCTGCTGCATGAAAAAATGGTGCAGTATGTTAGGGTTGTGCTGGAGCATTATGTCTCCTTGGGCAGGAGTGGTTCAGTCACTGGCATAGGGACAAGGTCTGGCAGGCGTCCCCCTCTCATATTCCCTCCTACAGATTAAAACCTTGCTTTTTGAAAGCTTCAGAGGGACTGCTGAAGGAGGCAGGGCCTGAGCAGTGTGATGGAGAGCTGCATTTCCAGCCTGTGCATTCACAGGGGTTGTTGCAGACCCAGCTCACCCACCTCCCTTGTTTAATGTTAGCCTACTGCATGGCTTGTCATTGACCCTGTCCTTCTCTGTCCCTCTCAGCTAGGCACATTCAAGTCTGATGATGGGGACTATTTTGTAGAGCCACTGCTGTCACTTGAGCAAGAGTATGAAGAAGAGCACAACAAGCCACATCTCGTCTACCGACATCGGACACCTCCAACCAACTCTTCAGGGGACAGGCAGACTTGTGATACTCCAGGTACTCATTTTATTACTGTTCTTAATGACTTGGCCCTTACGAAAGAGAGCTGATTTGCAGTAAAATATCACCAGGTTTGTGTGGGGTAGAAGAGATGTGAGGTTGAGGATTCTTCTGGAGATGGTTCCGCATGCGCTTGGAAGAGGCTTGCAGTGGTACTGCTGCCCTGAAGAGACGTGTGTGCCTGTGCTTTCTAGTAATTGGTTATGAGGAAGTTGTGGTCAGGAAAAAAATGTTATGGTTTCTGTTTCATCCCTGCTGTAAGGTTGGCAGGAGATCCTTCGGGCTGTCATGCCACAACTATCCAATGAGCCTTTTAACCTGCTTTCTGTTCCCACCTCCATGTAATTCCTAACCATCCCAATCTGATTTGCTCTCTGTCTCAAATTCTGTTTCTGTCCTTTTGATGACATTGGCTTGGTCTTGCTGTGTCCCCACTCGCCAGACCTGGCTGCAAGTTGCAATGTCTTATTTCTTTATAATGAAAATGAAAAGGTACTACCACCAACCCTGGCAGTTCTGCCCTTATTAATCACTTTTCCATGGTTCATTCTCAAAGGCTCTCTTTTTTTTTTTTTTTTTTTCCCCTGTGGCCCTTCCTCCACCAGCACCATCTCCCTGACCTCTACACTCCCTTTTTCTAGTCTTTGCACATATGAAAGAGCACAAGCCTTTTTATCTCCTCTTCACATGCCTTGGTGAGCAATAGCTTTGCTCCTACTGTCCCTATTATCTGCAGTGGCCTCCTGCTGCTCTGTGCCTCCTTGACTTCCTGATTTTCACAAGTAATCCTCTCCTTTGGCAGTAAGGAACCTAAGTTCTCTCTGAAGAAGTTTACTCCTTCAGTGCCCCGTTTCACCTGCTGTCTCTCCCTCTTCCTTTGGCCTGAAGCTAGATCTGCAGGAGCTGCAAAGCCTAAATAGAGTAGACCTTGACTGGCTTCCCTTGCGTGGGCTGAGAGTCTCTCACATGCTGCAGAGCAGGTGGAGTTCCTCAGGAAGCAAAATTAGCACAGGAAGAGAAATGTGGTGCTGGACTTGGTTTGTATTTAGCAGGTGTGACTGGTTTGGCACCTGTACCTGTGGACTGTGGCCATGCTGTTGAGTTGCTCTTGTGCTTTGTGACAGTTTAGAGCTGATGTGCTAATGGCATGTGTTTCATCTAGAAGACATGTAGATATGTGTCCACATGCAAACATGTACTGGGGGACAGTGGTGCCTCTCACAAGGCTGTTGTTGTCTGTTCTTCCAAGGGTTGCTGCTGGACTATGCCATTCTGGTTTCTCTCTTCCAGCTGTTTCTGCTCCCTTCTTTGAGATCAGATGCAGGAGACTCAGAACAGTTGGAAAGAAACACGGTATCTGGCACAATTCATCAGTAGCCCTTGGAGGAACGGAGCAGCAGATCACAGGACTCATTGAACTAAAGGTAGCTGGGAGGGCAATTGCTTGACTCTGTGTAGTTATAACAGCTCACTGTATTTCTCCCCCTACTCCCTCCTTATATCATAGAATCATAGAATGGTTTGGGTTGGAAGGGACCTTTATGATCATGTAGTTCCAGCCCCCCTGCTGTAGGCAGGGGCACCACTCTATATGTATCATATATGAAGAGCATAGCTTTTCGTAAGAAGAAAAATATTGCTCTTCACAAGTGTAATACTCTATCCATGATATTACCTTCATGGTGTACCTATGTTCTCTTCTTTTCCAGAATACTTCTTGCTTGTCTTTCTTTCCTTTCTATTTTCAGTTGTTTGCTGTAGTGGAAGGAGGAGGTGTTTGCCTTCCAAATGCAGGTGTAAGAGTTCCAGGTAGCCATGGTGATAGCTTTGCTTTCCACCCCATCGTCCTCACCTTTGTCTCTTCTCCTTACTGCCATCCCTACCGTTGGAAGGGAGTGTTCTTTTGCTCAAAGAGGAAATTCATGCGAGGGAAGTCCAAGGTACCCACCCTACAGTGAGCATGGGAGATCGCCTTGCCAGGCAGCGGGGCTGTTAACAACGACCTTCTGATGGTGTTCTTCCTGGAAATGATTAATAAGCCACGCATTGTGTGCCCTTACTGTGATGATGTAATTGTGGACTGCTTGTGGTGTTCAGGAAAAGTGTCCCTTGTGAGCTGACTGATAGAGTGAGTAGAAGGCTTCATTTCCAAAGGCCTCCTTTGTGCTCGCTTTTCGTTTTCAGCATCCTCAGGTCAACTTAGAAGAACAGGTATTTGATTTTGCTAAATTTTAATTAGCAGCTTCTGATAATTGTGTAGGTGCCCTGACAGGCAGGACTCTGTGGAAGTTCTGAAAAAAGGCTTTTCTCCTCTGAAAGCTGATGGATACCAAATGCATAAACTCATGTAGCACACCAGCAGGGTCCCCGGCAATGCACTTCAGCCGTCTGGCGTACAGCTCAGCAGCTGCAGTGAACACTTTGGACAAAGTTTTCCTTAGGGTAACGAGTCATGTCGTTTCAGTCATAGGAAATGGTGCAATTTCTCCTCCTTCCCTTCTTTTAGTTACTACCGTGAATCAATTTGTCATCTGGCCGAGGATCTGGCAGAATAATTAGCTGTGCTTTCCTGAGCAGCTCTGTCAGGATGAAGACTTGGCCAGGCAGCCGGCGTGACGTCACTGGGTGCAGCACCGCTACCACCCATCGCTTCACCATAGCGAGCTCTTCCGATCCATATTATTAATATCTGCCCTTTTGAGGTGGGGGAGGAA